GGAGGAAGTAAAACACAACAAAACTTCATGAATTTGGGAAATTACTAACAGGTAAAGATCGGGGTGCAAAGGATTTTATTTTGTAGCTAAGATTAAGATCCACAGCTACTTTTCTTATTTGGAGGAAGTACTCAGTGCTGAGTCTAAATAGAACATTTGCAATCTGGAGAATTCTGCCTGACCCCTTAAAGTGCAGTCTCTACAATGACCTAGTGAATAGCAGAAGAGTTATTTATATGCATGTTCATACAAATGAAATAGACTTAGAGTCAGTCTTGACCAAGGGAACTGAATAAATGGATCTAAGAATGGTTCAATACATGCCAGGTTCTCCTAACCTATCCCTAAACATAGGGATAAAGCTGATGATTTTCACATTATATGCGTACCTGGGCCCTCTGACTCGAGTTATAGCTTTATAGACACAAGATCCACTTGCAATCTCCCTTCCAGGGGAATTAACAGGTACTTCAAAGCAATATATCAAAAAGTAATCTCTTCTTTTGCTTTTGGAAACCTGTTTTCCTCCAGCTTGTATTCCCATCCAAATTGAACATAACACCATTCATTTGTTTGCTCAAGTCCCAACTCTAGAAATCTCCAATGAGATCCAGCTCTCTCACTAACCCCTATACCCATACCCACCTCATTGAAATTCTTACTAACTCTGTCTTGGAACACATTTCTGGTATGGCCTTTTTCATCATAACCACCCTACATCGACAACACCAACTCTTGCCAGAGTAATTCCAGACCTCCCTCCCCATCTGTCCAGAAGATCCTAAATAGTGTGGCCCCTGACCACCATTCTGATCAGAACTTACACCATTACCTTCTTAATTCAGTCTGCATTTGCCATATAAGTCCACTTTCTACCTTGAAAAATAGGACATAAATATTGGTTCCTTTGCAGGCAATGTTCTTTCCAGAGTTGCTTCCTTCTTATCATTCCCATTTCACTTCTCCCTACAGCTAGACTTGGAAACGTGGTGAGATGTGGAAAGCAATTGCTCTCTGCCTGTGATACTAGTTTCTTAGTCACTGTGATTCTTCTCTGTTTCTTACATAGCAAATGTCATTCTTACTGATGTCTGTTCAGGTACTGCATCATATTGAGGTTTGCTGGCACCACAGAGGTGTAGAACATGAGAATATAGGTTGTAAATAGTAAATAGGTGTAGAGCAATAAGTATAGTTAGGGGCCTCCCTGGTGGCGCAAGGGGTTAAGACACAACCTATGAAGCTGTCTGCAGCCACTGCAGCATGAGTTTGATTCCCGAGCCAGGGAGCTACCCATATGGCACAGCAGACCTCTCTGACTCGCCCACTGCTCCCCTCAGCAGTGTATTTCAGTCAATCTGCCTGTTCTGTTCCCCACTCTGTCACTGGTGAATCCTCTCACCTCCCCCCACTCCCGCCCCGCACCTCTGGCCTGTACCCCAGCACTTGAATACATAAATAAATAAATCTTTAAAAAAAAGTATAGTGATCAACACTGGAGATTCCTGATCACTATTAGTGATCAGAAAATTTCAAAGTGCTTCTGTCCTAAAAGTCTGTGAATGGAACAATTTAGCAAGAAGTTGTTTAATCATAAACTCCAGAGAAAGTGCAAGCTAGGAAAAATTTATTTGTTCAACAAATATTTACTAACTGAATAAATGAACTAGTGGTCAGTGAACTCTGAGGCATATGTACACAAGAAGAGTATTGAGAAATAATCCTTGGGGAAATATGCTACTCTGAAAACAATGGCTTCAGTAATTGTGACTGCTATAGGCCTTTGTATTCAACTCATGACAGGACAGGAATACAATCAAATTAATTTGACACCAGAATATCTGTCTCTTCATTTCTTCTGAGTTCTCAGAAACACAACTACTTTGCCACTGAGCAATGATGTTGATTTCAGTTCAAACTTCCATTGTTTTCTAAATTCCAAGGTAACCTGGAAGGCTCGGCTCCATGGTTTACCATTATTGCCTCTGAGTGATGTAATGAGACATCTTGTCCTTTATTAGACACCAATGCTATCAGCAACATGCACAGACATTATGCAATATTTCCATTTGTACTTAAAATCCATATCATTGAAGAATCAGTATATACTTCCATAATTATTTTTTTTTTTTTTTAATTTTCTAGAGGCATGTCTTATTTATTTATTTATTATTTGTTTGTTTGTTTGGTTTATACATGCACTGGGTACAGTCAGAAGCGCGGGAGGGTGAGAGAATTCACCAGAGCCAGAGCGGGGAGCAGAGCAGGCAGAAGGACCGAAGGACACTGCTGAGGGGAGCAGCGGGCGGCAGGAGAGGTCTGCGCACCATGTGGGACCCTCCTCCGGTGGCCGGGGAGCAGCCGGGGATTGAACCGGCTGCAGAGGTTGCAGGCAGCTTCGCAACCCAGCGCTCAACCGCTGCGCCACTGGGGAGGCCTATACTTCCATAATTATTAATGAAAGTAGTGGTGCATGGAGAGGAATAAGGAAAAGATCTTATGGGCAACCCATTCTCTCACTTGCCTTTTCATCTGAATAGCCCAATTACTTTAATCATGTTCAGAAAGAGTATTTTCAGCCTCCCAATAATCTTTGTTGTAATTGAGGATTAAGTCCATTGAAAATCACGGTGCTAACTTTATCTAACAGTGGATCTCCCCCATTTCCAACTAGGTCCTCAATGAGGGGTTTCTTTGGTTTCACCCTTTTCCTCCCTGTCAGTTCCAACCATCACCCTTCTTGTGCGATGAGCATTCTGATCATCAAGATGATTGTCAGGGAGCTATAAATGATGGTCAATAGGAGGTAGGAAGAAAGTACTTTGAGACTCTGTGATCTGACTTGGAGTTCTGTGGCCTGATGGACACTGAATATTTATCCTTAGAGAGTTCCCTAGAGGGCACACGCATTAGTCCCTTCTATGTCATGGTGATGCTTGTCCACTCCTTGGCCATTACAGTTCCCACCTCCAATGTTGGACATCCTGCAGCCCCCACACCCCCACACCTTTGGGATTCTATTGCTCTTGGAGATAGTTCTCTTGGGCAGGATTTTTTTAAAAATTATAAAGTGGACCTCCTGATTTTTTTACACCTGCTTCAGAAGGAACCTCAGGTGTCTGTCCAGGAATCACCTGCACCTGCAGCTGCGGGGATCTTGTGACCTTGCACAGTGTGTGTCCTTCCTCTACAGCCTCAGGCCAATAATCGCATCTCATGTTCTTAATTCAGAGACGTGTCACTTATTTCTTCCCTTTTTAGAGAATGGTATGATCACACAAAACTTCAGGGGACATAAGATAACTTTAAATGAGCCTACACTTTCACAGAGTTTGCTGAATATGTGACTGCATATGAGCTGCAGACTCCAAGAAAATTCTTACCTTCTTTTATCTTAGACAAGTTGTCTAAATGAGAGAAAATCCTAAATATACCAATGAAAAAGTAATTGAGACAGTAGAGCAGCGAAGTGGCAGGTTACAAAATCATTTTTCAAAATCAATTATGTTTTTGTATGGAAACAAGCTAGAAGAGAGAGACACTTCTAAAAAAAATCCCATCTATAGTACATCAAAAAGAATTAAACACCTTGGAGTACATTTGACAAAAGAGTCAGAGGACCAGTACAGTCAAAACTATAAAGTACTGTTAAAAAATAAGAACACACAGGGCCTGCCCTGGTGGCACAGGTGGTTGAGTGCAGCACTGTGAAGCTGTCTGCAGTCTGCAACACGGGTTCGATCCCGGCCACCGGCGAGGGTCCCACATGGTGCGCAGACCTCTCCTGCCATGCCCGCTGCACCCCTCAGCAGTGTATTTCATCAGTCTGCCTGTTGTGTTCCCCTCTCTGTCTCTGGTGAATCTTCTCATCCTCCCGTGCATCTGGACTGTACTCCAGTTCCTGTATAAATAAATAAATAAATCTTAAAATATGTATATATATATATATATATATATATAAAATAAGAACACAAACCTGGATCTACAAAGGATCTACAAATACAATGGAGAAAAGAAAGTCTTTCAACAGGTGTTGTTGAGAATACTGGACAGTCACATGCAAAAGAATGAAGCTAGACCACCATCTCACCCCTTACACAAAAATTAATTTGAATGGATTAAAGATTTGGCTGTTTTAAATGAAGCCCTGAAGGACATAACAGAAAACAGAGGGGCAACATTCCACAACATTGACTTCAGTGGTGTGTTTATATCATTGTCAACAAGAAGATAAACCATAGAGAACATAAATATCCACATCAGATTAAAATGCTTCTTCACTAGAAAAGAAATTATCACCAAAACAGAAGACACCATATTGGAAGGGAGAAAATATTTGTATGCCATACAGCAGGCAATGGTATGATATCAAGATTTATAAGGAAATCATACAACTCAACAACAACAACAACAAAAATAATAAAGAACCCAATTTAAATAGTCAGAAGAGCTAAATAGACCCTTCTCCAAAGAAGTTGTGCAAATGGTCAAAAGGCACATGAAAAATGCTTATCAGTATTTCCCTAGTGGGAAATGCATATCAAAACCACAATGAGGTATCATCACAAAATGGAGAAAGGCAATCTTGTTAATATATGATGTTGGGTAAATAGTAAAGCCAGAAAGAAATGAATGAAGTTGGATTACTTGCTAACAACATAAACAAAAATAAACTGCAGGTGGATTTAAGATTTAGTTTTAAAACCTTCAACAATAAAATACAGAGAAGAAATCATTGGAGATACAGTCCATGGCATCGACAATAAAGTTATTTTTGGTGATTCGGCCCCCATGACATGGGAATTAAAAAAAATAATAGGGATTACCTCAAGTTTCAAATTTTATACAGTGAAGGGAAACATAAGATGATGTAAAAGACACTCTACTGAACGTGAGAAAATACTTACACAATATATAACTGATAAGAGGCCAATATGCAATATATATACAGAGGTCATACAATTCAACAATAAAAAATGATCCAGGGGCGGAGCAACATGGCGGCGAGGAGACGCTGCGAGTAAGATCTCCCATTAAAAAAAGTGAATAGGGAGGAAAAGCGGCAGGTCCCAGTGAGAACTGAGACAGGGAAGATAAACGGACGACTCCAGCAAACTGCCCAAAGAAGAAAGTTGCCATAAAAGAGGACGAGAAGGGAGGGAAGCGCAGAACCCTGCTCCCCTCCCCCGCCCACAGAGGCGGCACTCTCCGACCGGCAGAGAGGAGGAAACAACAAACCAAAAAGCCCAACAAGAAAAACGGATGCAGCAAGTGGGACTGTGAGTGGAAAGGAACTATTTCAGCCACCACACCCCGTGAACGGGAGCTGAGGCGAACCCTGCAGGATCCGCAGCAGAGGTGAGCTCCAGGCGCCAGTAAAGAGAGCCCCGCCCACCAGGAGGAGACCAGCACCAGCACACAGCCCCGGCCGCCCGGTAAGCTTGCGCGAAAGCGGCGCTCGGATTGCAGCTGCCCAGGGCCCTGCGCCTGCGACCTAGGCTTGCGGGGGCAGCTGCCCAGGGCCCTGCGCCTGCGACCTAGGCTTGCGGGGAGACGGCGGAGGCCCTCCCTGAGTGAGCAGGAACAAGGTGCCCAGGCAGGGGAGCGGGATTCAAAAGGCGCCATTCCCGCGCCACTGATCTGGGCTATAGCCCGCGTCCTGGAACTGAGGGCTTTGGAACTGAGACCCGGGGCACGAAATTAGGGGCGTGGGTTCCCCACGACGGTGGGGCACAAGGCAGACACAGCACCCCAAAGCCGTTGAGGTGTACCCTACCATCCCCGCTCTGCTCCCTGTCCCACGGGGTGGAAAATCAGCTCCCCAAGGGCTCTAGGAGAGATCTCTGGTGCCACCTAGCGACTTGACCCCAGCACAGGCTACTGAAGGAGCTAGTGGCCAGCTGGGGAGTTACCCCACACCGGGCCCCTTCTGAACAAGTAGTCTGAGCCCACAGGGAGAGCGAGCACCCACAGCCGGGGCAGACCAGGCGCGCAGAATAGTGTGCCTGAGACCAGAAGCGCAGGGAGTGTGTCCCACATCACCATTTTAGAACAGGGACATTTCTTCAGTAAAGACTACCTGCAGAAGGCTTCCTCAGGAGCCAGAGGTGAGCGGGGGAAGTTCGCCCACGCCAGACCCCCTCTGGCCTGCAGTCCAAGCCCAGAGGGGAGCAGGAACCCACCGCCGGGGCAGACCAGGCGCACAGGGGAGTGTGTCCCCACATCGGCATTTTAGAACAGGGACCTTTCTCCAGTAAAGGCTGCTTGAAACTGACAGATGACTCCTGGAAGAACCAGAGGGGAACAGAGAAGCCCACCCAAGATGCCGGCAAGTCCAACAACACAGTGTCCCAACGCATACGGCAAATTAGAAAACAGACAGTAGGGAGGAGAAGAACCACACGCAACCTAGCAACTCTCCAGAGAAAAAGCACACCACAAAAAGAAAGCCAGCCCCCAGATTGCAACGACAATAACTTGGAAGAATTTCTGAGCCTTCCAGAAAGAGAATTTAAAATTGCCGTGATTAAAAAACTGACAGAAGTCATAAAGGAAAACAATGATAAGGGAAAAATAATCAACGATCAGAAGAATGCAATTGAGTCCCTAGAGAGGGAAAACAATGGTCAGAAGAAAGAAATTGAGTCCCTAAAGAGGGAAGTAAAAGAAATGCAGGAGATCAAAGAATTAATGGAAGAACTAAAGAATTCTGGGAAAAGCAATGAAAGCAGAATAGATGAAATGGAAGAACGAATAAGTAATCTTGAAGACACAGAAATAAAAAGAACCAAAACAGAGAAGGAAAGAGAAGTACGAAGGAAAAAGAACGAAGAAAGACTTCGGGAACTATCGGACTCCATGAGGAAAGGAAATATAAGAGTTATAGGAATACCAGAAGGAGAGGAGAGAGATGTAGGAACAGAGAAAATATTCAAAGAGATAATTGAAGAGAACTTCCCAAATGTGAAGAAGGAGCTGAAAATTGATATACAAGAAGCAAGAAGAACACCAAACTTCCACGACGAAAGGAAAAATACAGCAAGACACATAATAGTAAAGCTCCCAAGAATCCAGGACAAGGAAAAAATAATGAAGCTGGCAAGAGGGAAGAAACAGATAACATTCAAAGGAAAACCAATCAGGCTGACATCAGACTTCTCCGAAGAAACACTACGGGCAAGGAGAGAGTGGAGGGACATAGTCAACAGACTCCAAGAAAACAGATGCCAACCAAGAATACTCTATCCCGCAAAGCTCTCCTTCCTCTTTGAAGAAAGAATATGGACCTTCCCAGACAAACAGAAACTCCGGAATTTCATTGCAACTAAACCCCCACTCCAAAAAATACTACAAGGAGTTCTAAAGCCAGAACCTCAGAGCGACGAATAACAATGAAAGAAGGCCAAAAAAAAAAAAAAAGGTTATTAAAAGAATAAATAAATAAAATCAAAGGAAAGACAAACACAATGGCAAATACAGATGTTAACATATCAATATTAACTCTAAATGTAAATGGACTAAACTCTTCAATAAAAAGACACAGAGTTGCAGCCTGGATTAAGAAACAAAACCCAACCTTTTGCTGTCTCCAGGAAACACATTTAGCTACAAAAGATAAAAATAGGCTCAAAGTCAAAGGATGGAAAACAATCCTACAAGCAAATGGGCCAAAAAAGAAAGCAGGAACAGCTATACTTATATCAGATAAAACAGACTTCAAACTCAAAAAAATAAAAAGAGACCCCAATGGTCATTACATTATGATCAAGGGGACAATACTTCAAGAAGAAATAACACTCATTAACATATACTCACCAAACGAAGGAGCACCAAAATATATCAGACAACTGTTGTCCTCTCTGAAAACAGACATCAGAGAAAACACATACGTAGTGGGAGACTTCAACACACCACTATCAACAATGGATAGATCAACAAGACAAAAAATAAGTAAAGAAACCAAAGCTCTAAATAAGGACCTAGAGCAATTGGGCTTAACAGACATCTATAGAACACTAAACCCCAAAAAAACGGAGTACACATTTTCTCAAGCGCACACGGATCATTCTCCAGGATCGATCACATACTGGGGCACAAGACAAACATCAACAGATACACCAAGATTGAAATCATATCAACCATCTTTTCTGACCATGAAGGCATCAAACTAGAAATAAACCATAAAAAGAAGGCAAGGAACTTTCCTACCTCATGGAGATTAAAAACCACACTACTGGAAGACCATTGGACTAATGAGGAGATCAAAGAAGAAATTAAAAAATTTTTTGAATTGAACGACAAGGAGGACACCAATATCCTAAATGTATGGGATGCAGCAAAAGCAGTAATAAGAGGAAAATATATAGCAATAGAAGCTCACATCAAGAAACAAGAAAGAACGCAAAGAAACAACCTAATCTCGAAGCTCAAAGATCTAGAAAAAGAACAACAGAAAACCCCAAAACCAGTAGAAGAAAAGAAATAATAAAAACCAAAGCAGAAATAAATGAAATTGAAACTAAAAAAACAATCCAAAAGATCAATGAAACCAAGAGCTGGTTCTTTGAAAAAATCAATAAAATAGACAAACCCCTAGCCAGGCTCACAAAGGAAAAAGGGAGAAAGCACAAATAAACAGGATCATCAATGAAAGAGGAGAAATCACAACGGACACAGCAGAAATCAAAAGAATAATCAGTAACTACTATGAACAGTTATATGGAAACAAGTTTAACAATCTAGAGGAGATGGACCAATTCCTACAACTCTACAATCACCCAAAGCTAGATAAAGAAGAAATAGAACACCTAAACAGACCAATTACAAGCAGCGAAATTGAAATGGTAATCAAAAACCTCCCCAAAAACAAAAGCCCAGGACCTGATGGATTTACAAATGAATTCTACCAAACATTCAGAGACGAATTAGTGCCTATCCTTCACAAACTCTTCCAAAAAATTGAGAAGGAAGGGACAATACCAAACACGTTCTATGAAGCCAACATTACACTAATACCAAAACCGAACAAGGACAACACAAAAAAGGAAAACTACAGGCCAATCTCCCTAATGAACACTGATGCAAAAATCCTCAATAAAATTTTAGCTATCAGAATCCAACAATGTATCCATAAGATAATTCACCACGACCAAGTAGGATTCATTCCAGGGACACAAGGATGGTTTAACATCCGAAAATCAATCAACGTTATCCAACACATCAACAAAAAGAAATATAAAAACCATATGATAATATCAATAGATGCTGAGAAAGCTTTCGACAAAGTGCAACACCCATTCATGATAAAAGCCCTTGAAGTTCTTGGGATACAAGGAACATACCTCAACATCATAAAGGCCATCTATGACAAGCCAACAGCCAGTATCATTCTCAATGGTGAAAAGCTGAAAGCAATTCCATTAAGATCTGGAACAAGACAAGGATGTCCACTCTCACCATTGCTTTTCAATATAATACTGGAAGTCCTAGCCAGGGCAATAAGACAAGAGAAAGACATCCAAGGAATCCAAATAGGAAAAGAAGAAGTCAAACTATCACTATTTGCAGACGATATGATATTATACATAGAGAACCCCAAAAACTCCACAGAAAAGCTAATTCATCTCATCAATCAGTTCAGTAAAGTGGCAGGATACAAAATCAACACGCAAAAGTCAGTAGCCTTCCTATACACAAACAATAAATCTGAAGAAGAAGAAATCGAAAAGACCATCCCTTTGTTATTGAAACAAAAAAAATCAAATATTTGGGAATAAATCTAACAAAAGAGGTAAAGGACCTATACAAAGAAAACTATAAAACACTGTTAAAAGAAATAGAAGAAGACACAAAGAAATGGAGAGACATCCCCTGCTCATGGATTGGAAGAATAAACATTATTAAAATGGCCATCCTTCCAAAAGCAATATACAGATTCAATGCTATTCCAATCAAAATTTCAATGTCATTCTTCAAAGAAATAGAAAAATTATTGATGAAATTCATATGGAATCACAAAAACCCCGAATAGCCAAAGCTCTCCTGAAAAAAAAAGAAGGGAATGGAGGCATCAGACTCCCAGACTTCAAACTATACTACAAAGCCATAATCATCAAAACTGCATGGTATTGGAACAAGAACAGACATACAGACCAATGGAATCGAATAGAAAATCCAGAAATAAACCCACAGATTTATGGTCAACTAATCTTTGACAAAGGAGCAAAGACTATGCATTGGAGCAAAGAAAGTTTGTTCAATAAATGGTGCTGGGAAAACTGGGTCGCTACATGCAAAAGAATGAAGCTTGACCACCACCTCACACCATACACAAAAATCAACTCAAATGGATTAAAGAACTAGACATAAGACCTGAAACCATAAAATATATAGAAGGAAATATAGGCGAAACACTACGTGATTTGCACATCAAAGACATCTTTACAGACACATCACCCAAAGCAGTGATAGTGAAGGCAAAGATAAACAGCTGGGACTATATCAAATTAAAGAGCTTTTGCACAGCAAAAGAGACAATAACAAAAACCAAGAGAAACCCCACCAACTGGGAGAACATTTTTGCACCCAACACTAATGATAAAGGACTGATCACAAAAATCTGCAAAGAGCTGATGAGACTCAACAACAACAAAGAAAATAATCCAGTCAAAAAATGGGCAGAAGAGCTTAAAAGAAACTTCTCTGAAGAGGAAATGCAAATGGCCAACAGGCATATGAAAAAATGTTCAACATCACTTGTCATCAGGGAAATGCAAATCAAAACTACCATGAGATACCATCTTACACCAGTGAGAATGGCACATATTAAAAAAACTAGCAACAACAAATGTTGGCGAGGGTGTGGAGAAAAAGGAACTCTTCTGCACTGTTGGTGGGAGTGCAAACTGGTCCAACCACTGTGGAGAGCTGTGTGGAGATTTCTGGACCTACTAAACATAGAGCTTCCATATGACCCAGCAATTCCACTCCTAGGTATTTACCCAAAGGACACAGAAACATCAATTCCAAAGAACACCTGCACCCCTATGTTTATAGCAGCACTGTTTACAATAGCTAAGCTTTGGAAACAACCCAAATGCCCAAAAATAGATGACTGGATCAAGAAGATGTGGTACATATATACCATGGAATATTACTCAGCATTCAAAAAAGATAAACACATGCAATTTGCTGCAACATGGATGGCGCTGGAAGGGATCATGCTCAGCGAAATAAGCCAAAAAGAAAAAGAAAAATACCGGATGGTCTCACTCATAGCAGGAATCTAGAAAACTTAAATAATGGACCAGGAAAATGAAAAACTATAAGAAAGTGAAAATCAAAATCAACAAAAAACTATGAACCAGAGACACTTTTAGGGGGGCGGGGGCGGGAGGGGAGGGATTGGGGTCAGAATGGGGGGCGGCAATTGTATGGGGAATATAACAATAAAATTTATAAAAAAAAAAAAAAAAAAAAAAATGATCCAGCTAATACATGAATAGCAGATATGAAAGGCAAATCGCCAAAGATATCTAGAGGTGAAAAGACATATGAAAAAAATGTTCATGGTACTTCTAATAAGAGAGATGCAGATTAAAACTGCAATGAGATACCACTCACTCTTCTCAGAATAGCACATGTTAAAAAGACCCCAACAAAAAGCTGCAGAGCAGATGTGGAGAAAAAGGAACCTACTACATTGCTGGTGGGAATGTGAGCTGGTGAAACCCCTATGGAAGCAATAAGGATTTATTTTTTTTTCCTTAAGATTTATTTAGTCATGCACACAATAACTGGGGTACAGCCCAGATGCGCAGAGGGTGATAGGATTCACCAGACACAGAGCGGGGAGCAGAACAGGCAGACTGACGGAAATACACGGCTGAGGGGAGCAGCGGGTGAGACAGGAGAAGTCTGCCGAGCAATGTGGGCATCTCCCTGGCCAGCCAGGATTGAAGCTGCAGACAGCTTCACAGCTCTGTGCTCAACCGCCTGCACCACCAGGGGGGGGCCCAATATGGATTTATTTTTAAAAAATAAAAATGAAATCACTGTGTGTCCTACAATCCCACACTTGAGCAAATATCCATAGAATATGAAACCATCAATAAAAAGCTTCACGTGTTCTACAATGTTTATAGCAGTGTTGAATCAAGAAGGGTGTTACACAAGCCATGGAGTATTATATAGCCATAAGAAAGGATAAAACACAGTCATTTTCAAGTAAACGGAGGGAATTTGAGAGAATTCTGTGGCGCAAGGAAAATTAGAAAGATAAAATCAAATAATGGACATTTACATAGCAGATATTTCTATAATAAAAACACTTTCAAAAATGAGAGGACAGTGCCTCCCTGGTGGCACAGCGGTTGAGCACTGGGTTGCGAAGCTGCCCACAGCCTCTGCTGCGCCGGTTCGATCCCCGGCTGCTCCCCGGCCACCAGAGGAGGGTCCCGCATGGCGCGCAGACCTCTCCTGCCGCCCGCTGCTCCCCTCAGCAGTGTACTTCGGTCCTTCTGCCTGCTCTGCTCCGCGCTCTGGCTCTGGTGAATTCTCGCACCCTCCTGCGCTTCTGACTGTACCCAGTGCTTGTATAAATAAATAAAATAAATAAATAAAGATAAATCTTTAAAAAAATTAAAAAAAAAATGAGTGGACATTAATAAATACCCAAGGTTTAGAGGGTGAGGAGGGACAGACATACAAAGGACAGTGGGGGAATATAAAACAAAACAAGAAGATTCTCTTACCTAAACATGGCAGAGTAATACAATTAGGAATCTACTATTAATACAATACTGTGATTCAGTCAATACACTAGCTGTCACAGTGCTGTCATTTACCAAAAGAAAAATGCTTGTTTCTTTCATGACCCAATCAGTGATCACATGTTGCATTTACTTCAATGCCCCTTTACGCGTCTTGGATTCAGTTTCTCAGTCTGTCCAGTCTTCATGACCTTGACATTTTTGCAGATCTGAAGTCAGTTGTTTTGTGCATTCAGGTTTTTTAAATATATTCTCCAGTAATTAGATTTAAGATATTCATTCTTGGCAGGAGAACCATGAAAGTGAGTTGGTGCCTTTCTCTGTGTTTCATATCAAGAGGCACATGTGTAAATTTATCCCATTAATGGTGGTTTAAAAATGAACGTCTTGATGAAGAGGTACATAGTGTGAGGTCTGTGGGTCCTGAGCACAGGATCTTCTGTGGGTTTGCCACCCTTCTGAGACATACATGTGATGCAAACTCTAAAACTCTTGCAAAAAATATTAAAAAATAAAAGGTGTTTGCCTTACTTATCTTGTATATAATGATGTTTATAATAGACAGTTTTTCATACAATTTAATCCACTGGAATCCTATAGATAAACTTCAGTGGTGGGTGAGAGGTGGCTTGTATATAAATATGGACTATTATATATTTGGTAATCAATAAGATTTTATTTAAAAAATTCAAAGACTGTTATCTAGTTTTACCATGCAGCTGCTGCCGATATCAGTTGAGAAACATGGGAACGCAGAACTGGAAAGAATACTATAATTCAGCAGGGCAATCCAGAACAGCCCAGGGCAATCCCTCATTTTAAAGAGGCAGAGGGCTTCCTTGGTGGTGCAGCCAGTTGAGCGCTGTGCTGTGGCAATGTCTGCACCACGAGTTCGGTCCTGGCCAGCCAGGGAGATTCCCACATGATGTGGCGGACCTCTCTTGACTTGCCTGCTGCTCCCCTCAGCAATGTATTTCAGTCCGTCTGCCTGTTCTGTTCCCCACACTGTCTCTGGTGAATCCTCTCACCCTCCCATGCTTCTGGCCTGTAACCCAGTTCTTGTATAAAAATAAATAAATCTTTTAAAAAATTATTAAATAAGTAAATAAAGAAGCAGAGACGAAGAGGCAGGGTAACTGGGACCTTCCCAAAGCCACACAGTTATCCAGTGAGGGAGTCTGTATGACAAACCTAGTCTTTGGAACCCTAACTTAACACAATTCCCAACAACAAAGCATTTCCCCCAATCTTGGAAGACTGTGTGTTGTGTCATATATATAATACTCCTCTCTCTCTGTTTGCTCTTGTATTCTTTTATTTCAGTAGGTAAACTCTGAAGGGTTTACCTTCAGAAGAGAAGCAGCATGTCTACTAGAGAAGAAGCCGAGGCAACAGAGGGAGAGGCTTCTGAAGGTGTGAACTTAAGCATGACTCCAGCACAAGCCCCCAGGAAAGGTAAAACCATGAACTGGATGTAGATGAATCTGGGTCTATGTCACTTTCCTTCCTTGACAAATACAGTATCTTTTTGCTACTCCCAACAGTCAAGAATTCTATACAAATAAAAAGCATTGTTGTTGATGACTATTTTGTTTCTTGAAAGCAACTTTGAATATTGCAGAGAACAGGTAGATAAGTCATTATTTATAGGTGAAGAAAAATCACAGAGCACATGGTCTGGAGGAAAATAGGAAACCATTCTTGGTCTTTCTGTTTCTAAGTCCATGAGGACATCCCTTTATATCTCCCTGCTCATATTTGATTCAGATATGCTCAGAGAACCACTTTCCCTCTACGGCAGCACAGAGGGTTACTTTTCCTCCTCCTCTCATCCATATTACAACTTATTTTTTCTATAATATATAATAAGGAAGACTGTTACTTCAGCATCCACTAAAATCCATCTATTTTCAAGGAATTGTATGTGATGTGAAAAAACAACATATAAGTAGACTTGATACTTTGACAGTGATCTTGGCATTCATGCCAATAACACTAATAATCTACTCCTCAACTGCAGGGAGGATTCAACATCAGCAATCATGAGGGAAAAGGAGACAGAACAATTCAAAATTCATGCAAATTATGGGGAAACTAGATAAATTTCAGAATTTTCTGCGAAAACATTGTAAGTTTGTATAAAGAAAAAAGTTGTGGAAAAACTATATAAGTTAGAGAAATTTGTGACAAAGTTATCCCTTTTAAAACAGAAAAAATATGTTCTATTACATTTATTAGAAAATTTTGGTAAGATTTTTAAGCAATAGAAAATGCTTATTTATCTTATACAAAAGAAATCCAAATAAATTAATTTATGGAGTTTCCTACTTTAAGAAGGTGGAGTCTAGCTCCTGTCAGCTTGAATGAGGTCTGTACATGTGACTTTTCCCAGGACACAGTGTGGTAAGGGAGGAAAAAGGAACCATTTCACAGAAGAGCGACCTGACAAATTCCACTACAAGTCAGGTGATCAAGGTCCATACCAGCAGAGGTGAATCCTGGTACTAACACTCACCCTAATATGTTCTGATGGGAGAGCGTCAGTTCACCTGTATCGTCCTTCTCTTAATAACACGTGACCTCGGTCTAACCATGAAAAACAGTGAGAAATGCCAAGTAAGGGACATGCGACTCAATACCTCACTGGTACTCTTGCAAGTGGTCAAGCTCACCAACATGAAGTAGGTCTGGGAAACTCATAGGCAAAAGTAGCCCAAAGGCAACAAGACAATGAAATGTGCTCTGGTGTCCTGAATGGGGCTGAGGGACAGAAGGAAGACACACATCTAAGATGTCTGAATGAAGTGTGCCATGAGTTCATGTAAGTTCATTCATTGTGACAAGTGTACCAAACTTATGTGAAATGGTAGCAGTAGCAGAAACTGATGTGCAGTATGCACATATGTCCCATAAGTGTGAGACTTCATTAAATAAAACTGACTAAGAAAGATGGCTAGGTTGCTAAGATGCTTCAGCCCATAGGTTGAGAAGGAAAGGTAAAACTCCCTCTCTTTACAAAGCTAGCTGGCAAAGCAACTCATATGTGTGCACAAACTGCATTTTAAGCTTTTGTAGATAATCATGTGACATTTTCACTAATGTATTAGCAAAATAAATCCTGTGTTTTCATTAAAACATATTATTATGAGGCCATTCTAAAATGTAAAGGTAGTTTAATATCATCAGTTAAAAATTATAATGAAGTCCGATAAATTTACTACTCATCATAGTGCAATGGGTAGTTCTATCATTAAGCCCAATTAAGGGATGAAATAATGAGGACACAGGGAGCTCAATCACTTGCCAAAATCACAGCATTAAATAATGTGTGTGGTCCAACTCTGATTCAAATTAAGATGCATTTGATAAAACTCATGAAATTCCAAAAAATATATAGAAATAGGATAGGTTACTACAATAAATACATAAGTTCCACCACCAAAAGCAGCACACCTAATGGTATAACTGAGAAGCATTCCCAGTAATCTCATATTTAGCAGGAGTGCCCATTCTCAACAATTATAGAGACTGTTTTAAAAATGTGGGTGAATAAATTTATCATGGAACAAAATAAAAGTTACAATAGGCAAAGTTATCACCAGTTTTCTCCATCAGTTGTGCTTAAGCTGTGTGTGCTTTTTTAAATTATTATTCCTGTCTACAACCAAGGGAAAAGACATGAAAATATTGGGAAAAGAAAGAATAAAAACAATAAAAACAGCTACTAAAAACTTGGGACTTAACTGAATATAACTATAAAATTCCACCTTAGGAAAGAAACTTACTTTGAAAAAAAAATGGACCCTCATCCCTGTTCTCAGCTGGAGAAGGCAATGCTGGAAATGTGGCAATCTCTCTTAACTTAGTCTGCCCTATGCATATGAGGTGATCAAAATTCCAATGTGAATTTCTTATAGATGGGGAAGGGGACACACTCAACTAAATGTTCCCAGAAACAAACTCACATTGGAATCTGGCTGTCAGGTCCTAACTGTCCCTGCACAACAGGAAACAGTACTGGTCACGCCACCTGCATTTGCTCCCTGACAGAAGCCAGAATGTGGAGCACCCATGTGGCATGAGGTCAGGGCAATTCAATCAACGCTTCAGGTCCTGTCCAACTATGTTCTCCACTCAACAATCCTAACTGTCCCTGCACAACAAGAAACAGTACTGGCCACGCCACCTGCATTTGCTCCCTGGCAGAAGCCAGAATGTGGAGCACCCACGTGGCATGAGGTCAGGGCAATTCAATCAACCCTTCCAGGTCCTGTCCAACTATGTGCTCCACTCAACTGCAAGGTCACCAGAGGGGAAGCATGGAACACTGGCACATTTTGTGGAAGACTAACTAAAAATTGAAAAATGAAGTTGATGCACCTCATCCACCACCTTTCAAGTCTCATCTCCCAGCCCAAATCACGCTAGGTCCCCTACTCATAAGTGGCACAACCTGCCACCCCAGCCCCTCAGGTAGGAAACTTGGGAAGGCAATGCTGGAAATGAGGTGATCCTGCAACTACACCATTACTATCCATATGCAGTGAACAGCTTTTGCCAGCTCAGTTTTCTTGTAATCCACTCTTACCATCCCACATCCTCATTTCATTCCAGGGCCCTGTCTAGAAATCTCTTTCTGAATGCTCACTCTGGCCAACTCCACACATTTTTCAAGTCTCTGATGACCAGTGTTCTGGAGAAGTTATTGACCCTCTCAATTACCAGGGGAACAGGTCTTCAGAGCAAGTCTGCCTCCTCCATTTTCCTGTTTCACAGAATGAATCTTCCTTTTCTGGACTGATGGAGGGTGCCGAGTAAAGTAGTTGCTTATCAGACTTTCTGTGCTTTCTCCTCTCAGGCTGTTGCTCAGTCCGATATGGGCTGGCTTTCATCTTGCTTCTCTGTCACTCTTCAGTGAGCACACAACAAACGAATTTGAGCATCGCCATGCCAGCGATGGTAAACAACACGGCCCTGACCAGCCAACCCAATGCCTCCACACAAGGGCCTCCCTCTGACGGCCTGAACAACAGGAATGAAACTCCACAGGAACTCAAGGCAGTGGTAAGCTTAATGAGACTGTGGACTCTTTCTTCAATTCAAGTGGTTTTAACAAGACGGTTGTTTATTGAGTATCTGCTATATTATGCAAGAACAAAATATCTAGGGATATTATATCCCTATTTTAGGTCTATGTGTTTGCATGGATTCAACTAGAATGAAGGAAACAGATTTTTGTCATTCAGTAGACATAAATTGTTCCCATAAAATGGTGGCTATATCTACATATAAGTATCACAGATTTAAATAAAATCCTTTCTTTCACCTATTTTTTACTATCTTGATGCTGCTGCTCATTTATCGGATTCTTTCTTTTTAGGCTCTGATTTTAAATTGATCTGTTATCTGGGGAACCAGGGAAATTGTGAACAGGCAAAGATTAAGTTGGATCTCTCTCTCTCATGCTTGATATAATTGTTAGATTAGAGCATTGAGAGCAAAGAAAAGAAACTGCCAGTTATTACCATTTTCTACCTCTCAAGTCCTCACAATAAATAGTTTCATCTCTGTAGGCAAAGATTAACAGTGGTGTGCTGTCTTCATCTAGGCCCCTGTGTATGACTGGAATCCTGAGATCCAGGGAATCATCCTCAGCGCATTCAACTATGGCACATTCTTGGCTCCAATCCCTAGTGGCTATGTGGCTGGAATATTTGGTGCCAAGTACCTGGTTGGTGCTGGCTTGGTCATTTCCTCAGTCCTGACCCTCTTCTGTCCACTGGCAGCTGATACTGGGGTGACCTTGCTCGTTGTCCTTCGGGTTGTCCAAGGCATAGCCCAGGTACCAAGATATTTGGTAAGTATGACTAGAATATGGGTTCCAATGTGACCTAATCTACTGAGAGGAACTTTTATTTATTTTACAGACCATGGTATTAACAGGTCAGTTTTCAATTTGGGTCAAATGGGCTCCCCCAGTGGAAAGGAGTCAGCTCATCGCCATTGCTCGATCAGGTAACTGGCACCCTAATTGTCGGCCCTGTGCTGCATCACCAGACAGCTGCTGAGTGGAGGAGCGGGAAGTGAAAGCAGGTTGTCTGGATTTCAGCTTTTATCACTAATCGCTGGGAACTCATCTTGGTTGAGTTTCAATCTGTAGGAGGCATAGAGATTCCCAAGCCTGACGCCCTCATGTGAAATACCCTGACTTCTTCTGTAGGAGTAATGCTGGGAAGCTTCGTCATCCTCTCTGTCGGAGGCCTCCTCTGCGACACCATAGGATGGCCTTATGTCTTCTATATCTTTGGTGAGTTTGTGCTCCTCTGCCTCAGAATTTTGTTTTATGACAGAAAATTCTGGGCATATTTTCTTTTTCTTTTTTTTTTTTTTAAAGATTTATTTATTTATTTATACAAGCACTGGGTACAGTCAGAAGCGCAGGAGGGTGAGAGAATCCACCAGAGCCAGAGCAGGGAGCAGAGCAGGCAGAGGGACTGAAGTACACTGCTGAGGGGAGCAGCGGGCGGCAGGAGAGGTCTGCGCTCCATGTGGGACCCTCCTCTGGTGGCTGGGGAGCAGCTGGGGATCGAACCAGCGCTGCAGAGGCTGAGGGCAGCTTCGCAACCCAGCATTCAACCGCTGCACCACCGGGGAGGCCCTGGGCATATTTTCTTGATCCAAGTCATCTCTGGTTTGCCAAATCCTAACAGATTTGGATATTTATTTAACTGAAGCTTGTTTCAGCAAAGCAACACCACACTGACAAAGAAATGGGAGTCTGGAGCAAAACTGTTCTGGCAGGATGCTACCGAGAAGGTAGCTTTTTACCTTTGCAATATTGTCCAATGATTATACAAAGTTATTACTCAGCACAGGAGGACAAAGAGAAAAAAGCCAGGAAGAAGGAATGCATGTTAAGATTAACTGCACTTTAGGAGAGAGGAGTCTGGGAATCCAATTCAGATTTACAGCCCAGTTTTCTGGCCCAAAGTTTGAGACCAAAATCAGACTTTCTGACCTTGGCTTCTGGTACCCATCTTGTTAACAAAATGTGGGATTCTGCTGATGTCTCTCTGGACGCAAAGTTACATACCAGTCAGTGGCTCCCCAGGCATTCCCTATCCTGCCTGGTGACATATGCTCATTGTCACAGGAGATTAAGCATCTTTTTCTTGTTTAACTTAAAAGATGCCTCTGCGGGGTCAGGAGTGAATTGATTGGTTGGGCCTAATGGTTTTTGTGCACATAAGGCTGAACTGCATAGCCCACACGGCGGCTTATGCAGTTATTTCATTCTAGCAGACCCACAGAAGTGGATAATGTCAGACCTCATCATGAGAGACTGCAAATCACATTTAAGTTTAGGGATCTAGAGTGTGTAGCTAAAATAACCGGATGACTTTAGAGGCATCATCACATTCCCTTCAGTTTCTAAATTCAACCCAAAGAAGGACGCCACCTGGGTTGCTTCATAAGCTGTTGAAAAGGTTATCTTGGTAGGATTATATTTTTAGCCAGGCTTACTTATTTAATACATTTTCAGCATTCTCTTAATATTACTCAACAGGGAAGTGTGGGAATGAGACATAATCACAGTGAAAGTACTGAGTGGAGTAGAGAATCAGCCAATAGAGGATGCAGAGCAGGCTGACCACATGATGCTCAGGAGTAGATGAAATACACAGAGACAGAAAATTTTCAAAGTTACACTGAGTATTCCAGAGGTAGTATTTTACTACTTTGCAATATTGTCCATACTCAATCATGGATAGAACAGTCCGTCTGCTTTTGACTAAAGTTTGAGGTTGTATTTTTACAATATTCTCTGAAATCTTATGTGCAACCTGCCTCATCTGGTGGGACCTGGAGGTTCAATCTATTGGTGTTTTCATTAGAGGATGGTGCTCTTAGTTCATGGGTTTTATTTATCAGGTCATGGTTTTTAGAAGAAAATATGTTACGTGTGATCACTATGGCACATAATCTACCCGTATTCTGACCTAGAAATTTCAAAAAGAATGGGCTACAAAAAATAATTAAGTAATGGGAAAGGCTGCTGTGCCCATGGTTTTGAGAAACAGCAATAGCATGATTAAGACAGGAACTCACTAAATACCCATGGAATCTGCTAACATCCTACATTTTCAATATACACCAGTGCTGATTTTCTTATCCATCCCTCCATGCTCTATGTTAAGTATTGATGAGAAATTTGAGCTTTGTATTCTTAAACTCTCAAAATCTAGCAAAAATCTTGGTGTTTGTGAGTTGTCTCTATATTTGTGAAGGATGTGTCATCCACAACCAAGGAAGTAAAGAGAGCTCTTTAGATATTCATAATGACCTAAGAAGGGACTTTTTAGATGAATCATTTTTTTCAGACAGTGCTAATAATGTTGTGTTGTCAAATTCAGAGTAATGTCTCTATTAGAGAAAATCCTTCTGTTGAGGATTAATTTCAAATTTACAAATTTCCTGGGTAATCACTTACACATATGCCTGCTGCTAAGTCTTCAGTGCTAGAGGTAGTTATGGAAGGACTTAATGACGGAAGGAACTTGCAGAAGTATGACAAGGAAGAGGAATCTTTCCAGTACTTCAATATGAGGAAGTTGTCAAGCAAGCAGTGTAAGCTCTCTAGTATTTCTAACAATGAGCTATAGCATTATTAATGCTGCATTTCAAAACTTCCCCCAACTCTGGTTTAAAACAAATCATTTGTTCTCCCACTTCTGGGCAGCTCTATTCTCTGTGTCTTGTATATGCCTTGGATAATGGGTAACTTGGACCATGTTCTTCCTATGACAATGGCTAGGACTTTAGAAGAAAATTGATAACAATATCATGGTTCTTAAGCATGGACAAGCAAGTAATATGTATGACCAAGGCCGAAATAAAGTTCTGGGAAAGTCCTCTCCACCAGTGATAAGTACATAGCAGAATATAGATAAGGGCAGAGTAGAAGACTGGAATCAGTCACTCTGTGTACTGCAAGATTCATCCCACATTAGAGTCAAATTGAAACACTCCAATGCAATGCTAACTGGGCCCTCTTCTCCCAGGTGGAATAGGCTGTGCCTGTTCTTTGCTCTGGTTTCTTCTCGTCTATGAGGACCCTGTGAATCATCCATTTATCAGCACTGGTGAGAAGGAATACATCGTGGCTTCCCTGGCTGAACAGGTGCACTGAGTAACACCTCTGTCATCTCCATGTCTGTCTGCATGAGTTGGAGGTGAGATGTGCAGTGGAGCAAAGCTTCTGTCTTCTAATAGAGGGGGCATTGTCATGTGCTTTCTTCTAGGGCAGTTCTCCAGGCTGGTCTGTTCCCATTAAGGCTATGATCAAATCCCTGCCACTGTGGGCCATTTTTGTGTCTGCATTCTGCATATACTGGCGAAATCATATCATGATGGCATACATGCCAACATATATCAACACTGTACTGCAAGCTAACTTCAGAAATGTAAGTACAGAGGAAGTTCTTTCTTTTCCTCCATTTAAATGCTTCTTTATAGAATCTTCTGTCTTTTATTTGGTCAAAAATCAAGGATTGGGCCCAGGATGGTCAGGGAGGAAAAGCAACCTGGTTCACCTGCATTTTCATTCAGGAGATTCTGAATCACTGAAAAGAAACCTTCTGCTTAATGGGAAGAAAGTGGTATGGTTCTAGGTCACTCATATTCACAGAATGTCACATTTCTTAACACTCCTAAGGAAAAATATTACATTTAATCCAAACAATAACTCCAATCAATCACTCTGTTGCAGATTAGCAACAAAGTTTAATAAAATTGTGTTCATCTTTAAGAAGACTATGATATAGATGCAAAAACATGCTGAAAGTAAGGCATGATAGTTCTTATATAAAAAATTGTGGGAATTTTTTAAGAAAAGATATTTCTCTCCATTTTAACATATATAGATTAAGTGCACATATGTGTAGAGCTCTCTGATTTTCCGCTCAATGAACAGATTGTGGATTGGCTGACACGAGACTTTCAATTTTTGCTTAAAAGGATGTTCTAAGACTAGGGAGGAGGGCATAGATCTCACTGAGGGACAGTTCACCTGGTCATTGAATTATTGCTTTCCTCACCCTTTGGACTCTAAAGCAGTGTCCCCAGGGTGATTGCGTTCCCTGATGAAACGTTAGAAGTGGGTAACAGAGAACTGGCCTCGTAGCAGAGATCAGAGCCGGGGACTTCTGCATGCAAGGAGGCTGGGGAGCTGAGATCTGTAAGTCCAAAGACAGGTGGAGGAGGATCAGAAGCAGCTGAAAAAACACAAGTCAGGCCAGGGAGTCTAAAGACAAATGTCTAGAGAGCTAGGACATCAGGATGAGAGAGGGGCATCCTGCGGCTGCTGTTGGGGATGATCAACCTCCACCAAGGCTGAGGAGGACCAGGATGGGAGTGGTTGGAAAGACAGGTAAGAATGCAGCGCCCTCCCAGCACAGGAAGTCAAGAGACCTGGACTCGTTGCTCTCAGGGTAATTTCTCACTAAGTCACATGACCTCGATGGTCTCAGTTTCCTCACCCATTAAATGAACAGCTTGGACCAGATCAGAATGACATGCTCATTGTCTGGATTATGTAAACCGGGGGGTGTGTGTCCCCCTGTCCTCGTTTTCTTTATCAGCCATTTAAAATAGAAGCGGAATTGCTAATAACAGGGTTCCCCATTTTAAAATCTCTTTTAAAATACAAAAAGGCAGTTGCAACATCTTGCTGTCTTCCTGTATCCAATCTCCCCTGTTTTCCCAGCCCACTCCACACATAAAGTTTTTATGAGTTTCTCAGAATTTTTCCCATTGTGCCTTTGGAGAATCCAAGCCTACACAAATGAATATTATTCTCCAAACCATTTTAACAAAATCTTTACATGTGCATTTTCCCTTTTTGTAAATTGTGTATTCATATTATTATCCTATTTTTGCACAAATTTTCTTCCTTTAAACTTCTTTTTCCAGGGAAACTTTATATATGCAGGAAGAATTCATCATTTTTTATCCCTCAAATTGAATTTTATAAAACTATCTGCAAGTAATAATATTATGTTGATTCATACCAGTAGTGTGTAATTTGTCTTAGAGGGATGAGCATGTAATGAATAACCCCAGATCTAGACAGTTTTCCCACAACTCTGTCTATGGCATTGTGGGGGATGATGACCTGTCTCTCACTCGTCTCCTCCTCAGAGTGGGATCATGTCAGCTCTGCCGGTATGTGTTGCCTTTCCCACCTTTATCCTTGGAGGTCAACTCGTTGGTTTTCTCCACTCCAGAGAAATCCTTAGACTCAATACTATCAGGAAACTCTTTACTACCTTAGGTAAGAATAGAGGGGAATGGAGGGGTGGGTGTGGGGCGCTCAGGGGGCCTCCTGTTCACTGTGTTTGTCCTCCTGCCAGGGGTTCTCATCCCAAGTGGACTCCACCTGCTCCTGACCTGGGTGAGATCCAGCCAAAGCACCCTTGGCATCTTGGCAGTGTCTTCCAGCTTCCGCACCTTGTGTGAACTAGGAGTTTTTCTCAACATGGTGGATATTGCTCCTCGGTAGGGACTCTTGCTTTATTCTCATAGAGATACAGTGCAGGTCCATCAGCTTAAACCACCTCTGACACATGGATCAATTATGAGTGACATGTGAGACAGGTCACGGAAATTGTCAGTCCCATATCCAGATTCCAACTAATTCCTGGAAGACCCAAAGATGTTCCACAGTTTTAAGGTAAAAACAGAAATAGACAGTGGCCACAGACAGCCCAATTAGAGGAGACTCCCAGAGATATCCGTCTGTGGGACATCAGCTGTCACATATGGTTGAGACCCTGAAAGGGCTCAGACAACTCCACAAGCCTCGTTCACCTAAGGCAATTGCAGGCAAATTGTGGGGACAGCAAAAGGAACCTCTTATAAAGGTCATTATCAAAGATCAATGAACTTTCCACTATAGCCCCAGATACTTTTCACAGTCAAGAAAACACACTCATCCTCAGAAATGAGGCAATATTCGTGGGCTATACTTTGTCTCAGAGGAGCCATGTCTTTTAATGAGAGGTCTTTTATATCCTAGGAGAGAGATATTTTATACACAAAACCTGGATTCTCGAAGATCAGGCTTCATAGCCGAGTCCAAAGAATATAAGCCAGCTACAGAGCCCTAATTTGTCTATTTTGTATAAACAGTGGTAAAAAGTTAGTACAGGTGACCCCTTGGAAGTCTCTGAACCCAGCACTGGATCCTACTAATGCCATCAGGACATTACATTCAAGTTTGGTCCAGGGTCACACAGCCACAGGCATCCTCAGAGATAAGCAAAGAGTTGCAACAGATGAGCTGAGATTGACCTCTTATTTCCAGTGAATGTTCTCTCTGTCTCTCTGTCTCTCTGTCTCTCTCTCTCTCTCTCTCTCTCTTTCTCTGTCTCTCAGGTACAGTGCCTTTCTCAAGGGACTATCGCAAGTATATGCTTCCTTAGCTGGAGCCATCTCTACCACCGTAACTGGCTATTTCATAAATCAGGTGAGAAAATGTTCTCATGAAAATATTCATAGGTCAAATCTGTATTGTCACCCAGTAGAAGTCAGACTTAGAGTATTTTCATTCCTTCCTCAGTGTGGCTTTCACAGTTTGTAAAACACAAGTGTGTGAGGGGAAGTTAGTACTGGTTTGAGTGTGGAGTGCAGGAGAATGCACATTTATGAGCTTAGGCTTTCTGATATTTTAGAAGATGCATTTCATGCTACTCAGCAAATTTTTAGAAATAGTCTTGACATTTCCTGTGATGACTAAAAAATTGAGTGACAGGGCCTCCCCTGTGGCGAAGCGGTTGAGCGCTGGGTTGCGAAGCTGCCCGCGGCCTCTGCGGCGCCTGTTCGATACCCGGCTGCTCTCTGGCCACCAGAGGAGGGTCCCACATGGCGCGCAGACCTCTCCTGCCAAGCCCGCTGCTCCCCTCAGCAGTGTACTTCGGTCCTTCTGCCTGCTCTGCTCCCCGCTCTGGCTCTGGTGAATTCTCTCACCCTCCTGCGCTTCTGGCTGTACCCAGTGCTTGTATAAATAAATAAATCTTAAAAAAAAAAAATTGAGTGACAAAAAAAATTTCCTTTAAGGAATTAGTTTCTCTCTTGACATTTTATGTCCCTTCTCTGCCAGTTACATGAAGAGAGGTAGAGTGACTTTATGAGAGGGCCTCTGGCCTGGGTATTGTAGAGCATCTGTGATATAAGCATCTGTCAATTGTGCAAATGGGTTTTGAGCATTCCACTCATTCCTTCCACCAATCCTAAGGAATTGGGATGAGATGCACAAGAAAAATGCTGAAAAGTAAGTCACACTTTAATAGTTTCCTTAGTTATTTGTCCACTGAAGCTAGCCCATGATCACTCTGTAATCGAGCAGAAGCCCTGGAATGATGTGAGCCAAATCAGTTTCACCTACAGTTGCTACCTTGACCCTCCTGCATAAAAATCTTCCCTTCAAGGTAGAGCAGAGAAATCATAATTCATACAAACTGGCAACCTCATGATGGTGGCATCTGCATGAATTCATCTGCCAGATTGCAAATAGCCCAGTGGGCATTGGAAAAACCCCTTGGGAGCTATAGAAGTTCACCTGCATTGTATTTAGGACATACCATATGTCTATTGATGGAAAACACTTTCTGACCACTGTGGGGAAGGGTTTCAAAAAATACTGCCTTTGGGGCTTCCCTGTTGGTGCAAGGGGTAAAGACACAGCGCTATGAAGCTACCCTCAGCCACTGCAGCATGAGTTCGATCCCCAGCTGGGGAGCTAGCCACATGGTGCAGCAGACCTCTCCTGTCTCGCCTGCTGCTCCCCTCAGCAGTGTTTCTGGTCCGTCTGCCTGTTTTGCTCCTCACTCTGTCTCTGGTGAATTATCTCAATCGCCTGCACCTCTGGCCTGTACCCCAGTTCTTGTATATATAAATAAATACATCTTTTTTAAAAGACATTTTTTAAAAAGTGGGTTGGGAGCCCCTACAGCCAGCATAGGCTGCTGGTTGGGCCCTAATCCCATTTTTCTCTCCTCCTCATAGAAATCCACCATCCTTTGGACCCATGTGTATCTCTGTCTCAAGTGTGGCTTTTTGGAGTTCACAAAGGCCATTACTTAAGGTGGAAGGCACCACAGTGCAGTGGGGAGAAATGTTGGGATGAGGCCAGAGTTGTGGGGGGTGAAAGAATTCACCTGAGACAGAGTGGAGAACAGAAAGCAGATTTATTGAAATACGACACCAAGAGAAGTAGCAGGTGGGAGAGGAGAGGTCTGTGCATGAAGGAGGACTTGGGGCTCCCTTTTGTAACCTGTTTCCCAGGCTTCTCATGAGTGGGCAGTTGATTTGGGCAAATTAGTGCTGCGATATGTGGTCTTGGGAGCTGACCTCTGACATAGAGTGTATCCTGGCCCTGCTTCTATGTTCATAGTCAAAGTGATCAGCCTTAGGCCTGGTTCCCACAGCAACCTTACAATTCCCTTTGTCTATTCAAGCCTCTGTAACCTTCCTGCTGGGCAAACTTAGTTTTTAACTAACCTGCAAAGGAGTGGTGCCTTAGTTTTTACCCTTATTAATGATACCCAGACACTAAAGAGCAGCACTTCAGTCTTCACTTGGACAATGCTGCTTGCACAGTTGCCGGGTATGCTGGTCAATTGCCTTTCTCATTGAGGTGTCAAGCTCTGATGTGTCCCTGTGTTTACAGTTTGACCATAGATTGAGGGAGCAGAATAGTTTATAAAAAAATCTATGACCAGCTTCCTGTTTCTTTATAGGTTGTCCTGGGGAAGACAGGAAGCCCCTTTGCTTCTACAGCATTCCAAACTCTTGGGCTCTTCCAGAAGCATAGTGGCTATCTGAATATATGACAGCTGTTTTGCCTTTTGCCATCTTGAAAGCCTTTGATACAGATTCTACCTACTGAGCTCAGTCAAACTGGTATTTTCAAGGACTGACACTTCAGAAATGACAGTGAGATTCTGGATGAATCTCAGCGGCATTAGCATCTGTATGCCAAACAAAGACAGAATTAGTTCTTGAAACTTCATGCAAATTGTTCTGCAATTTAAGGGAATCAATTAGTTGGATGCAATTATAGTGAGATTCAGCTGCCTTAAGTTTCTCTGGCAGCAAAGTGCTGGGTTCAAGCTATCAATTTTATATCTAAGAATCATTGTTTTTAGGGAGGGTAGGGTTAGCTCATGTGAAGTAGACCAGTTTGCTGAGTAACACTGTGTGTGCTGTGAGGTTGGGATCACTTCTGCAGAGTGTGGTGCATATAGAAAACATGATATATTTATCCGTCACAGCTTCTTCTGTAGTTCAGCACCAACAAGTTGCTGCAGATATGGCTCTTAGGCAGGAGGGCAAGTCTCTATTGACTATAAGAGCCCTTAGGGCCACTGGAGATCTCCATCTTGAGTTCAGGCCTCAGAGGCTTTACAAAGAGGGGAAATGATTTCTCCTAGTTTGCTTGTCTCAGTGCTGAGGCTCCAGTTAAGGTTTATTTTAGTGTTGACACTGCTCTTTTGTGGAGAACCTTGTGACCACCACCATTTGTACTGTTTCCTCACTCTGAGAAAAGGAATCTGGGAAAGTAATGGCATGCAAGACAGAAAGAGGAGCTCCCGAATGGATCAGAGGCCTGACGGGAATCCCTTGAATTTTTGCTTGGGCTTCCCAAATGAAAATGATTGTAGAAGTGAACAGATTCCCTTTAGTTCCTTGGAGCAGTACTAATCTAGTGTTATTAAATTTAGTCTCAAAAACTAAGTCAGAAACTTCCTCAGGGTCTCAGGGCTCTTTTAGTAATCTTTCCTCAGGTGCCCTGATATTTTGCAGTAATAACCAAAGTATGAGATTTCTATTTTTATTTTTTATTTTTTGATGTATCTGGTTTACCACTGTTTGTGGTTTAGAGGTATAGGATTGTTATAGAGCAGCCCCGATATTGAACGGGTTCCTGGCTGTGGGTCCTCACCCACGTGCTTACAAGGGACTTATGAATACTCCACTACAGGCACACACAAAAGATTAATAAAAGGTTTATTTACAAGGGAAAAGGAAATAAGGAAAATGTACAACTCAGGGAGAAAATAGGGAAATAAAGTCTTTAATGCGTCCTACCCGATCCAACAACCTGGAAACCCAAAGTCACTCTCAGAGCTGGCCAGACGCTGCGAGCTGGCGGAGAGCCAAAATGGGGATTCCCCCAAAGCCCACGTGTCTGCCTTTATACCAGCCTGGCTGCTTAACCCCACCCTCCGGTCCCAGCCACCTTCCCTTTGGTGGTGATGGGATTTGGAGTTCCCTGTGTCTTTGGCTTTGGCCTGGGGTGGGGGTGGAGTCCACAAAGCCTGTATGGAATTAGCTTTAGGACATCCTTTTCCCCCTAACAGGATCTTCCCCTTCAGATATTGTTACTATATCACATTCAACATCAAAACATCTGTAGTCCTCCACTATAGTCTAGTAGGACTTTCACGTTTTATTTATAATCTTTGATACTTAGTTTTCTGATGGAGATAATATTGGTTAACAACATTGTTGGTGGTTTTGAGGTATAGGCTCTCAGGCAATGTGACTGGTTTAAACCCGAAGGATCTTTATTCTCTTTAGAAATTCTATGGGTACTCAATCTGAGGGGTGGGGGAAAGCAAATATTGTCTAAAAAATGTAAAAAAATGATAAATGTTAAAATTTAAAAAATGAAAAAAAAAAGAAATCTCTGGATCTCTGGCATTGACACTTGTGGCCACTTGGTGGCAGGTTGTCCTCATCTATTTAATCATTTGACTGAGTTGCAGCCTCATAATTGTGGCTGTCTCTATTTCCCTGGCTTTGAATGTTTTGGATAATTTGCCAGCTATGAAGAACAGCATGCTAGTGCGTATTGACACCAGAGGCGGTGTCTGGAAGGGCGTGGAAGGATTCAGGTACCAAACTTCCTGGCCTCTGGAGAAGGAGGATAAAGGAGTGCTGCCTCGCCTGTTTGTTCATCAATAATGAAAGTGGAGGTGCTAGTGCATTGTGCTCTGGCTTTGTTAAGTAGAGATTCTTTTCGTTTTAACTTTTTTAAATACCAGTAATGGCAAAGACTTGACCTTATCATTTCTTCTCTTAGAAACTTCTAGGTATCAGTAGAAATACCTATCCTAGTAGCCTGTTTTAGTTTTGAGAAGCTATTTGCATCTAGAAATAGAACATTAGACAATTCATAAGTGCCCCCTTGGCCTCTTCAAAGAAATTTTCTATTAGGTAATTCCTTGCACCAAGGGAATAATTGCCACTATTCCCTCCATAAATGTTGCCCATAAACCCTTCAAGGTTGCTTATTGGCGGTGCCATCCCCTGCCACTCCTGGTTTATTGGGTTTGAAGTCTCATTTCCCATAGTAAACATTTCCTAGCTGACTTTGCTTGGGATCCATGTGCGGGTATAGACTGGCTTTATTTGTGTGGCCCGGGGTGTGCTTGGCCTTTACCTGTCCCAGTTTACCTACAAACTGCTTCAGTCAACTGTAGGAGCTCAGGATGCAGAGGATCAACCCTCATGTCACCGCCAGATGAGCACAAAAATGTATGAAAATGCTCCCCCTGGAGGACCAATCACTAGTCATTACAGCTAGGATTTTGATCTCCTAGACATACGGAAACATAGGTTAGAGGGAGCACTTGGCCTTTTCCCGTGGAGACAATCCAGGCTGCTCCCACTAGTTGGTCATTATATTCTGAGCAAATTTTGTCTTTCCAACTCAAACAGAATATCCATACCCACCCCCACGGACAATCCTGCCTTTACCTGTTGCCAGTGGGAGTAGATGTCCATACTGATGCTGTCTGATCTCTGATAAATATCCTTAGAAAACTCTGGGAATGTCAACCAAACCTGGAGTCACATGACGTGGGTGTAGTCACCAGTCACTATGTCTGAGCTCCGAGATTTGGATAGAATCAAGGGCACTTGCTGTAGCCATGAATTTGGATCTGCTACCTCCTCCCAGGGATCAGGAGCAGAGCTGGAAGTGGGAACAGTAGGCCAGGACACCAGGGTGCCAGAGCCCTTCTCAGCCAAATGGGAAAAGACTAGAGGCCATAATCACCTGTACTTCTCACCTCAGGACTCTGAGCATGCCTGGAGAAACATCTTCTTCGTTGCAGCTGCTGTGGACATAGCAGGCCTGGTCTTCTACCTCATCCTGGGAAGAGCCGAAGTCCAAGACTGGGCGTAGGGTCGACATTCACCCATTTCTGAGCAACCACCTGGTGACACCTCATATCCTGGTGATTAGTTGTGCCTCACCTGCCTCATGGAACCTTCCCAGTCCACACCTGTGTGATGGGCTAGCATCCAACTCAACTGACTTGCCTCCAGTATCTTGTCAGGGAACTTGGCAGTGTAAAACTGGGAGTGCTCCCTGGCTATTTACAAGCGGGGTGGGGGAGAGCCTAGTTATTTAACTCTGGGTGCCTGAAAACATAGGCGTATCTGAATTTCCATGCCTTATGTAACAACAGGCAGGGATGAACCAAGAGAATATGCTTAGTGAAACAGTAAGAAAAGAAAGAGCATAAGATTTCACTCACAGGTGGTGCATGAAGAAACCAAAACAAATAAACTAAATAAAACAAAAAAACAGAGACCACATAGTAGTAGTAACCAGAACTGAAGGGGCCATATGTAAAAGCTGGAGTTAGACCTTTAGTGGGGATAGGTGGTCTGTGCAGTTGTTGATTTACATAAATGTATACTGAAACCTATAATATGATAAGCCTATGTTATGTCAATTACACAAAAAAAGTGGGAAACACAATTTTGGCTGCAGAAAAAGGTCTGTGTGCAACTGTATCATCTTCAGTAGACAGGACAGGGGTCTCATGTTCCCGTGCACGTTGATGCAGTAAGTTATATCTCGGAATGAGTATTTTCAATGATCTAATCAATCAAGAATGTAAGATTGTTACTTAAATCAAACACAGGAATTTTTGTTACCTGAGAGTGCTTTGAAAGTGGAGGTAGGGACAAAATCAGACTTTCCATCTTTTCTTCGCTGAACTGGTTCAAATGTATGTACAAGTTGTCATCTGCTGAGCAATTCTGTGTAGTGTTTTCAGGGAAAGTCTGGAACAAAGTCAAGGTAAGCTGCTTCACAGCACAAGTGGATTAAGGCCCCCAGAGTTCCCTGGGGATAGTTTGGATATTGAATCTATGTTAACTACTTGATATTGATGGTTGCTTTGTGGTTATGTAGGAGAATGACCTCTTTCAAAGAAAACATTGCAAAAGTGTTTACTGGAGGACTAGATGATGGTACTGGACATCATGCCAGCAGCTCATCCTTGTGGTTAAGCAAAAGTCCTTTTTACCTATTGTGCAACTGTTCTGTATTGGGGATATTTTGAAATGAACCAATATAATGAAAAACTATATTAATGACATTGGGGTCACATTCTTTAAATCATGTTCTTTTAACTCATGGGTTTTGATTTTCATATTAATAGCAGTGTAACCAGGTGTGTGGTAAACATCTGATCTAACACACAGCAGAATAATAACATCCAGAGCCTTGGATCAGGAAGAAGGTAGAGAAAACCTACTCCTGTTTATGTCCCAGGCACAACTCTGTTCGCACAGGGAACCCACATCTGTGAGATATTTTTATCAGACAAAACTGCACAGCTTACACAGTAGCATTGCCTGGTTTATCCTGATACTAAGAAATTTAAATCTAAATATAATTCTATGAAAATATAACAAGTTCATATAAAGAAAAAAGTTATTGTGAAAAAACTATATAAGATCAGAGAAAGTTGTCACACAGTTACCCCTTTTAAAACAGAAACATTATGGGGTGGGGGCGGAGCAACATGGCGGCGAGGAGACGCTGCGAGTAAGATCTCCCATTAAAAAAAAGTTAATAGGGAGGAAAAGCGGCAGGTCCCAGTGAGAAGTGGGACACGGAAGATAAACGGGTGACGCCAGCAAACTGCCCGAAGAAGAAAGTGGCCCTAAAAGAGGACCAGAAGGGAGGGAAGCGCAGAACCCTGCTCCCCTCCCCCGCCCACAGAGGCGGCACTCTCCGACCAGCAGAGAGGAGGAAAACAACACACTAAAACGACCAACAAGAACAAACGACGCAGCAAGCGGGACTGTGAGTGGAAAGGAACTATTGCAGCCACCACACCCCGTGAACGCGAGCTGTGGAGAACCCTGCAGGATTCGCCGCGGAGGTGAGCTCCAGGCGCCATTAAAGAGAGCCCCCCCCCAGGAGGAGGCCAGGACCAGCACACAGCCCTGGGCCGCCCGGTAAGCTTGCGCGGAAAAGCGGCCCGCACTGGAAAAGCAGTCGCGGATCGGGATCGGGATTGCGCGGAAAAGCGGCGCGGATCGGAATCGGGATCGCGCGGAAAAGCAGTGCAGTTGAAAAGCAAACGCGGATCCGGATCGCAGCTGCCCAGGTCCCCGCGCCTGCGACCTAGGCTTGTGGGGAGACGCGCGGAGGTCCTCACTGAGTGAGTAGGAACCAGGCGCCCAGGCACGGGAGCGGGGTTCAAAAGGCGCCATTCCCGCGCCACTGAACTGGGCTACAGCCCGCGTCCTGGAACTGAGGTCTTTGGAACTGAGACCCGGGGCACGAAATTAGGGGCGTAGGTTCCCCACAATGGTGGGGCACAAGGCAGACACAGCACCCCAAAGCCGTTGAGGTTTACCCTACCATTCCCGCTCTGTTCCCTGTCCCACGGGGTGGAAAATCAGCTCCCCAAGGGCTCTAGGAGAGATCTCTGGCGCCACCTAGCGACTTGAAACCAGCAGAGGCTCCTGGAGAAGCCAGTGGCCAGCTGGGGAGTTAGCCCACGCCGGGCCCCTTCCGACCAGTAGTCTGAGCCCACAAGGGGAGCAAGCACCCACAGCCGGGGCAGACCAGGCGCGCAGAAGAGTGTGCCTGAGACCAGACGTGCAGGGAGTGTGTCCCACATCACCATTTTAGAACAGGGACATTTCTTCAGTAAAGACTACCTGCAGAAGGCTTCCTCAGGAGCCAGAGGTGAGCAGGGGAAGTTCGCCCATGCCAGACCCCCTCTGGCCTGCAGTCCAAGCCCAGAGGGGGAGCAGGAACCCACCGCCGGGGCAGACCAGGCGCACAGGGGAGTGTGTCCCCACATCGGCATTTTAGAACAGGGACCTTTCTCCAGTAAAGTCTGCTTGAAACTGACATATGGTTCCTGGAGGAACCAGAGGGGAGCAGAGAAGCTCACCCAAGATGCAGGCCAGTCCCAACAACACAGTGTCCCAATGCATACGGCAAATTAGAAAACAGACAGCAGGGAGTAGAAGAACCACATGCAACCTAGCAACTCCCCAGGGAAAAAGCACACCACAAAAAGAAAACCAGCCCCCAGATTGCAACGACAGTAACTTGGAAGAACTTCTGTGCCTTCCAGAAAGAGAATTTAAAATTGCCGTGATTAAAAAACTGACAGAAGTCATAAAGGGAAACAATGATAAGGGAAAAATAATCAACGATCAGAAGAATGAAATTGAGTCCCTAAAGAGGGAAAACAATAGTCAGAAGAATGAAATTGAGTCCCTAAAGAGGGAAGTAAAAGAAATGCAGGAGATCAAAGAATTAATGGAAGAACTAAAGAATTCTGGGAAAAGCAATGAAAGCAGAATAGATGAAATGGAAGAACGAATAAGTACTCTTGAAGACACAGAAATAAAAAGAACCAAAACAGAAAAGGAAAGAGAAGTACGAAGGAAAAAGAATGAAGAAAGACTTCGGGAACTATCTGACTCCATGAGGAAAGGAAATATAAGAGTTATAGGAATACCAGAAGGAGAGGAGAGAGATGTAGGAACAGAGAAAATATTCAAAGAGATAATTGAAGAGAACTTCCCAAATATGAAGAAGGAGCTGAAAATTGATATACAAGAAGCAAGAAGAACACCAAACTTCCACGACGAAAGGAAAAATACAGCAAGACACATAATAGTAAAGCTCCCAAGAATCCAGGACAAGGAAAAAATAATGAAGCTGGCAAGAGGGAAGAAACAGATAACATTCAAAGGAAAGCCAATCAGGCTGACATCAGACTTCTCCAAAGAAACACTACGGGCAAGGAGAGAGTGGAGGGACATAGTCAACAGACTCCAAGAAAACAGATGCCAACCAAGAATACTCTATCCCGCAAAGCTCTCCTTCCTCTTTGAAGAAAGAATATGGACCTTCCCAGACAAACAGAAACTCTGGAATTTCATTACAACTAAACCCCCACTCCAAAAAATACTACAAGGAGTCCTAAAGCCAGAACCTCAGAGGGACGAATAACAATGAAAGAAGGCCAAAAAAAAAAAAAGTTATTAAAAGAATAAATAAATAAAATCAAAGGAAAGACAAACACAATGGCAAATACAGATGCTAACATATCAATTTTAACTCTAAATGTAAATGGACTAAACTCTTCAATAAAAAGACACAGAGTTGCAGCCTGGATTAAGAAACAAAACCCAACCTTTTGCTGTCTCCAGGAAACACATTTAGCTATAAAAGATAAAAATAGGCTCAAAGTTAAAGGATGGAAAACAATCCTACAAGCAAATGGACCAAAAAAGAAAGCAGGAACAGCTATACTTATATCAGATAAAACAGATTTCAAACTCAAAAAGATAAAAAGAGACCCCAATGGTCACTACATTATGATCAAGGGGACAATACTTCAAGAAGAAATAACACTCATTAACATATACTCACCAAACGAAGGAGCACCAAAATATATCAGACAACTGTTGTCCTCTCTGAAAACAGACATCAGAGAAAACACATACGTAGTGGGAGACTTCAACACACCACTATCAACAATGGATAGATCAACAAGACAAAAAATAAGTAAAGAAACCAAAGCTCTAAATAAGGACCTAGAGCAATTGGGCTTAACAGACATCTATAGAACACTAAACCCCAAAAAAACGGAGTACACATTTTTCTCAAGCGCACACGGATCATTCTCCAGGATCAATCACATACTGGGGCACAAGACAAACATCAACAGATACACCAAGATTGAAATCATATCAACCATCTTTTCTGACCATGAAGGCATCAAACTAGAAATAAACCATAAAAAGAAGGCAAGGAACTCTCCTACCTCATGGAGATTGAAACCCACACTACTGGAAGACCACTGGACTAATGAGGAGATCAAAGAAGAAATTAAAAAATTCTTTGAATTGAACGACAAGGAGGACACCAATATCCTAAATGTATGGGATGCAGCAAAAGCAGTAATAAGAGGAAAATATATAGCAATACAAGCTCACATCAAGAAACAAGGAAGAACTCAAAGAAACAACCTAATCTCGAAGCTCAAAGATCTAGAAAAAGAACAACAAAAAAACCCCAACCCAGTAGAAGAAAAGAAATAATAAAAACCAAAGCAGAAATAAACGAAATTGAAACTAAAAAAACAATCCAAAAGATCAATGAAACCAAGAGCTGGTTCTTTGAAAAAATCAATAAAATAGACAAACCCCTAGCCAGGCTCACAAAGGAAAAAAGGGAGAAAGCACAAATAAACAGGATCATCAATGAAAGAGGAGAAATCACAACGGACACAGCAGAAATCAAAAGAATAATCAGTAACTACTATGAACAGTTATATGGAAACAAGTTTAACAATCTAGAGGAGATGGACCAATTCCTACAACTCTACAATCACCCAAAGCTAGATAAAGAAGAAATAGAACACCTAAACAGACCAATTACAAGCAGCGAAATTGAAATGGTAATCAAAAACCTCCCCAAAAACAAAAGCCCAGGACCTGATGGATTTACAAATGAATTCTACCAAACATTCAGAGACGAATTAGTGCCTATCCTTCACAAACTCTTCCAAAAAATTGAGAAGGAAGGGACAATACCAAACACGTTCTATGAAGCCAACATTACACTAATACCAAAACCGAACAAGGACAACACAAAAAGGGAAAACTACAGGCCAATCTCCCTAATGAACACTGATGCAAAATCCTCAATAAAATTTTAGCTATCAGAATCCAACAATGTATCCATAAGATAATTCACCACGACCAAGTAGGATTCATTCCAGGGACACAAGGATGGTTTAACATCCGAAAATCAATCAACGTTATCCAACACATCAACAAAAAGAAATATAAAAACCATATGATAATATCAATAGATGCTGAGAAAGCTTTTGACAAAGTGCAACACCCATTCATGATAAAAGCCCTTGAAATTCTTGGGATACAAGGAACATACCTCAACATCATAAAGGCCATCTATGACAAGCCAACAGCCAGTATCATTCTCAATGGTGAAAAGCTGAAAGCAATTCCATTAAGATCTGGAACAAGACAAGGATGTCCACTCTCACCACTGCTTTTCAATATAAT